CATGCATGCATACATACATACATACATACATACATACATACATACATACCTACATACATACATACATACATACATACATACATACATACATACATACATACATACATGCATACATACATACAACATTCAGCAATTTATAGTAAGATAACTGTATTTGTTTGAGCGTTCCTGTGTTATATAAATTCGAATATATTTGTGTGTTCCTGTGTTTGTATGAATGTTCCTGTATTTGGTCGAATATTGCTGTGAGCTGGTTCTATAATGGCCTTTTGTTACATTACAGAAGTTTCCCTAGGATTTCTGTTGAATAGGGTAATAAGTTTTTTCCTTTTTATTGGCGCAGGGTTATCGATGACATTGTAAGCTGAAGACAAGTACGAAGATCAGTGTGTAATTTGCAAAAGTACATTGTAGGTTTCTCTTGAATTACAAAAGGTGCTTGGTCAAATTAAGTTTTATGATCGAATGAATTGATAACTAGTATGGATTGTGCTAGATATTGATGTACGCTAGTTTACACTATTCGTATTCGTCTGAAAACCTACAATTAACTGAAAAAGGTTCACTCTTTTTAGTCTTGCCCATTATATCTTAAATAATTTTTAGAATAATTTGTTTCCCGACGTTTTTAATGGTAGGCTGTTTTATGCTGAAATTTTTTTAGGATGTGCGTTTAAAAAAAAACGTGTATAAGTTAGTAGGTTTTGTGAATGAACATCGCCCATCGAATAGTTTTAGCAATAATGGAAAGCAGTGATGTCGACAATCAAATTGAAATGTATGAAAGTGTGTGTAAAAGTAAAGCTTTGCAGAAAAGCACAGCAGTATGATGAAACACAACAACAACAAATACAACAACAGCAATGTATGATGTAGGATGATGACGCCGATGACGACACCAACAATGATAACAGCAACGGCGACGACAACAACGACAACAACAATAATAATGTCAATGACAATAACAACAACCAAAACGAAACCAACAACAACAGCACCACCACCAACTACAAAAACAACAACAACAACAACAACAACAACAACAACAACAACAAACGAACTGCACGTGAGTGTCCTCATTGTAACTTTCCGCTTCCTTAACATCCTTTTCGCGAACGAATCTCGTGCGCCTTTCCACTTGTCACTTTTCTGTCTTCATTTGCCAAGACTAGGTGACCTCCCCGGCTCCTCATCATCTCCTCCCCCTGTTCGTTGTTGCTAGGTTGATCGGCCAAGCTAGAACGATTGAGCTTTTTCACAAGTGCGCATAAAATCGTCGACTTTGAGGCACTTATTGCCACTATTATATGCCAAGTATTATCTTTTAGAACCACAGCTATTGCAATAGTGATCATGATTAGATAGAACTGCATGGCAATTTTGCCGGGCGGGTGATAGATCGACTATCGGTATTCCTACTCGAGATGTGTTTACGTTTGTTATAGAATAATCACGCGCGCGTGAATGCTCGCGCGATTATTCGACGCCTGAAGGCTTCTCTCTGTGTTTGTCTTTGTTCTTCGAGAACTGATTGTAAAATGGCTTCTTCGCAGCGATGAGCATCTCGGTTAGTTTATCTGTGTAACATCTGTGTAACCATTACCTGTGTGTACTTTACCTGATGTCCGGTCTCTCTGTCTGTTTATCGTGTGTACGTATGGTCTGTAGCTAATGTCTCTCTGTCTGTTTACTGCTTGTATCTGTGAAGTAATTAATGACTGTTGTCACTTGTAGTCTATGACTAATGATTGCTGACAACGTCTCTGTACCGGCGTGCGTATCTGTGGTCTATGCGTAATCTCTGACTAGCGTTGACTAATGTTATCTCTGTCTGTTAGATCAGTACATATCTGCTGGTAATTACACAAAATTGTGCTCCACATCTAGTTACAACTAATATAATCTAATATAGATCAGATACAGATCCAGATCCAGATCCAGATCAGTACATATCTACCGGTAATTACGCAAAACCGTGCTGCAGATCTAGTATGTATCTACACCCCTATGTCGTTTCCCCTGCAATCTAAAGCGATGCGCTGTGCTTCCGTCCGTCCGGCAGACGTGTCTTTAAAGTGATACTACACCCTAGAATTTTAGGGTATATTCTGATAATAAGTGCATAAGTAATAGCATATACCTACGAATTTCTATAATCATGCATTCACATTAGTCATAAAACAACAGTGAGTTTCGAAGTCTTTAATTTTGGCCGTTGACATGACACCCCGCGATTGTGCTGCCACCCTGAAAAAGCACTTTCCGATTTATTTTGCACGTTGCAGACGTTATTTCGCTAGTGGTGGCGCCACCGTCGTTGTAAGCAACGATACAGCTGTTAGTTTTAAAACATTTTTTTAAATATTTCTAATGAATATTGAACAATGAGATTTTTTATGTAGCATAATTTAAACCTATTTAAACTAAAATGTGCAAGGAACCCTAGGGTCATGTATCTCTTTAAAACTGCTACTGCTAGGAACCACTAAGAAAAGACTTCACTTGCAGCTATTCACTAAAATTTATAGTAAAAGTTGTCAGTAGCCTCAGTTGTCAACTGCTCTGAACCTTCGTGCTCAGTGGAGCACCGTTTTAGTGTCTATTTCTAAGAACAATCTCAAACTTTGGTGCTTCATGCGATAAGCTGGGCCCTAAAATTTGATCTGGCCCCTAGTATTTTTACTTTACGCTTTACGCTATCATGTATCTCTATAACTTTAACCGTGCTCCAGATCTAGTGCGTATCTACACCCCTATGTCATTTTCCCTGTGATCTTAAGCTTCTGTTTGGCTGACGTGTCTCTAACGTTGATGTCGTGAAAATGTTCCTCAAGGCGATTAACCAGAACTAGTAGTGACGCCACTGTCGTAAGCAACAATACAGCCATTAGTTTTAAAACGTTTTTTTTAAACATGTAAATAATTATGTAGCGTCATTTAAACCCCGAAAATTTATTTTAACTGAAAATGTGCAAGGAACCTACTAGGGCCATGTATCCCTTTAACTTTGATGTTGCGAAACTACGCCCCTATGTCACCCCTGCGATCTAAAGCGATGCCCAGTGTATCCTTCCGTCTTGACGCTGACGTGTCTCTAACGTTAATGTCACTTAGATGTTCCTCGAGGCGATGAATCAGAAGCTGGGCAAGCACGATCACTACACGTCGCGACAGCTCGCCACCGGCGACAAGACGCTGCAGTTCGGCCGTGATTTCCGCATCCGCCACTACGCCGGCGACGTCAACTACTCCGCCGACGGCTTCATTGACAAGAACAAGGACACGCTGTTCCAGGACTTCAAGAGGATGCTGTACAATAGGTACCGCATGGCTTCTCACTTGTCTTTGTGTCACTCTCTCTTTCTCTCTCTCTCTCTTTCTCTCTCTCTCTCTTTGACAGCATAGCTCTCGTTAGTGGGTGGTGCGCCCGTATGTCCATCGTATGTGGTACAATATATCCGGTGGTGTGTGTATACTGGATGGTTTCCAGAGTCCAAGTGTGTGTTCTGTGTTGCGTGTCTGTGTAATCGGGGATGGGGACGGGGAGGGCATTAAAATAGCTTATGTGTGGGACGTAGAAACAAGTTATCTTGCGTTGCACATTCAAACAGCATATGTGTAAGACATACTTAGAAACAAGTTATTTGGTGTTGCACATTAAAAAAGCTTGTGGGACATGGAAACAAGTTATCTTCCGTAGAACATTGAAACAGATTATATGTGGGACCTAGAAACAAATTGGCTTGCATAGCACGTTAAAACGGCCTGTGTGTACAGAACATACAGAAAACAGATGGCTTGTTCGGCGACTTCAACGTATGCTTTTTCAAAGAGAATTCCGTGTGTGGAATTCCTAGAAACAAGTTAGTTTGCGTAGCGCATGCGTCATCACGTGTAGTACGCGTTGTAAGCATCTGCAAAGCTGGGTTGATGTTGTTGTTTCGAGTCGTGGTTGATCGCTTCAGACCCAGGGGAGGCAGTAGCTATCATATCGCTGACACGGATCTAACAACCAGAGCTGCTAGCTCGTAGAAGTGGTTACTCATGCAGGAGACGGAACAACGGACGTGTTTTCCGAGCGTTGAAACACGTTCTAGTTGAGCAGCGCTGCTTTTTACCTATTCTGCTAAGCTTTTTTTTTATTGCTCGCTGGTTTTTTTTACCGCTGCGCTAGATTGATTCAGGGATTGAGTGAGTGCGCTTCTACGCTTTATTTCGCAGTTAGCGACATATCTCACCTGTGCACTTTTATTAATCTTTCAATTTATTGTTCAGTCGTTGCGATATTGATGTGCTGCGCTTTTGATCATGTTATGTAAAAATGCACAATATAAATAAATAAAATAGTAAATAATCATAATCATAAAAAGCTCTGCCAAAGTGCATCTTTCATGCGAAGTGCTGGTATAAGAACATGCTCTCGATACCCTTACATCCTGAGAGTAATATCATTAGATATCAGAGATTTTTTTTTCAAACTGGCAGTGGCAGGTTGAGGGTGTGAGCCTGTGAGGGGTGGGTGGTGCTGTATGATTTGTCACCGATTAGGACTCGTGAAAGAATGAACAGCAGGTCTGTCACCTGTCACCAGGTGACCCGTACGGCCATGATATAGGACAAATGGCCAGTAGGCATGTGATATAGCACAAATGACCAGTGGGAATGTGATATAGAACAAATGACCAGTGGGCAAGTGATAATATAGCACAAATGACCAGTGGGCATGTGATATAGCACAAATGACCAGTAGGTACTCTGATATAGCACAAATGACAGTAGTAGGTAGTTGGCCTGTAATTTAGCCATAGTAGGGCTGTGATATCAGCAGGAGTTTATAATATAGACTATATCTATATTATACACTCCTGATATCATGCAAATGACCAGTAAGTCCATGATGACGATGTCTACAAGTGGAAGTGTGTGTTTTATGAGGCATGGTTGAGCAGTGATAGACCTACAGAGCTAGTCATCGTATATATATATATGTATAGTCATGGGTTAATAACGACAAATTTGTCATTATTGCAATTATTACAATTACATTATTACAATTAATATTGTCATTATTAACCCCTGATATGGCGTATACACTTCGTACCTTGGGAAGGTCGCGTTCGATCTTCTGGTTTAGATTCAGGCTGTCCACGCACAGTCCAGGCAACTCATTGCCGCCTGGTATCATCCATCCGGCGCACATGAGTCCCTTGTCACACGGATCGCCTTTCTCGGTGCCACAGGGGACGTTACTCTTTAAAAAATGAATTTTATTATGTAATTTACACACGAAGAATTTGTGTTCTTTTTTCTGGGTCACCTTTCTCGGTGCCACAGCAGGAGGAGTTACTCTTTAAAAAATGAATTGTGTATCTTATCATGCAATTTACACACTGAGAATTTGTACGGTTCGCCATATTTTTGCCCGAAAAGGTTTTGTGACTGGAAAAGTGGCAAAAACCAACGTTTACGTAAAATATATATCCGTTGAATTTTTTTTGCAATCAAACAGTTTTTAGCTGAATTGCACCAAATTAGGCGCCGATTAATTACCAGGTGTTGCCTTCTCCACTTGTTTCTGCTGTGTTTTTGCTCACCATGTACGAATGTTGACGATTGCAATGTTAATCATAGCTATCCCTAATCTCTGATACATGTGTGGAAAAGGCAGTAGCTGAGGGCAGCTGATGTTCATGCACTGTATGCCATGATTCTTACAGGGCAGTTATTATTATTGAGTATGCACTCTCTTAATTTCGCTCTAGGAATCGGCCATCGGCTATTGTTTGCATTATTAACACCCTAGATCCATCCATTGCTTTGGGAAAGTGCTAGTGCACTCATTGCAATTACTCGTAAAAGACAGTCGCTATTTCGTTATTAAAAATTTACAGACATTTTCCCCAAGAAATAACCGTTGTCTAGCAGTAGCGATAGCAGTCTCGTGACCTCAAAGTGGCGAATTTGAGGAAAGCAACACAAGTTGAACTCTGGAGCATTTTTACATTATGATAACTATTATACGTTGTCTAGCACTATCAGTCTCCCGAGATTGCCGTACTTTACGATGAAAATCTGCTTACTGTGGCAACGGCTGCGCATTCATTGATGACCATGAAGCTCATACTGCAAGAGAGACGAAATTGGTCATCACTCATTTAATTAAAATAATCTAATTAACACTCACATGACAAATCAAATGAGAATTATAACTTCGTAGTGCAGACCGTAATGTAATGTGTAGATAACCAAAATTTCTTGCATCAACACGACTAGGCAGAAAACAGTGATTATGGTTCAAGTTTGCTTACGTCGCAAATTCTAATGCTGCACACCCAAGCCTCTACTCCGATATTGGTTATTGGGACGTTGATGAGGGGGATCGCGTATTGAGTCGTTATTTATCACATTTCTCAGTTAAATGTGCACAGGCCTATTTATTTCTAATAGCAGTATTATTCCTAACCTGCTTCACTATCACAACACTTGATTGTTTAAACCGAGATCCGTTATTAAAACAAACAAAAAACAGCGATCGTAAATTCATGTCACGAATTGGCCAACTCATATAAGTTCTTGCACTCCTATTATCAAATAGTTTTGTTTCAATGCTGTTTACTTTACGTGTTATAGTAACACGATTGCGTAATGGCCCTTATAAGTTGGCCAACACATTTAGTAATTAATGCAGTAGAAGTACTGAAGTAGTGGCTGGCTATGGTAACACTAACAACCCAGTTTTACATGTAATGCATGGTTTGCAAACATATAAGTAAAACAAAACTTCACATGTAATTTTCATGCAGCCATCTAATATTAAAATTTGGTGCCTTTTTCGCTGTATTTCTACTTGCATACGTTGCACGAAACAAGCCTTTGACACGTAGTTTATGAGGAGTGATGTAATATATTATGTCTATATTATGTCACTCCTGGTTTCATTAGACCATATGGATATATGCGTACCCAATCATGTTTAATGTGTTATGCACGAATGAATGTCAATCATAAATTGTTTAATAGCAGTGGGATGATTCTAACCCGAGACGGATCGTTTCATCTCTCGTGGGTAAATATCATTCCACCATTTTATCTATACGGTTACACGTATAAGCAATTAATTGAAGTTATATTGATTTATATTGTTTACTGTAATTGTTACCAGCCCGGCAAGTATTAAGAATGTACCTAATATGCCCCAGATATCTTCACATCACAAAACGCTACAGATTAGTCCAAAAGGAGGCTAATTTCGTTGTGTGTATGTTAGTTCTATAGAAATTCCCGACATAGTGCCAAAAACGCATATTCCTGATCACCCCTCGAAATGGGGTTGAAAAAGTCCCACCTGTGCAGCAATATTAAACACACCACTTTGCGATCACCGTATAATGAAAGTACGATCATGACCGTACGAATATCCACACAGTCCGTGCGCAAACCTCTCATAAGAATATATATATATATTATATATATAAACTAATTAATATATATAATAATGTAACTATCATTTGTTTTAATTCACTCCTGATGATACAACGTCGTTATAAGTCCATTAAGTCATAATTATTAGCAGTGATTGACTTACCATATAGCGACAAGGCGAGATGCGCGGTTAACGTACATGTTTACGAATTAACACTCACTGCTTTTGCGCCGGCAGCCGAAGTCACACTGAAGCAGACGAACGAAAACGGATCTCTGTTCCATCTGTGACCAAGTAAATGTACGAGTGTGTGGTGGAGGCGGGGCAGTAATCAACTTAGCTGCGGCGAGGCTGTGATTGGCTAGTTAGAGGGTGTCGTGTGTGTGGCATTAGCCGTTCGTGAGTGAATCTAGTTGGTCTTACTAGTATCGCGCGACTGAAATTTCTCCACTGCTAGGCGGCACAGGTACGCACGTGCCTCTCATTAACATATATACTGAGGACACACGTGTAGACTTGGTCTTGTGCTCAACAAGGAACTCGGGGTTTGAAATTGAAATTTTTTTCTCCAGGCAGAAACATGATAAGACCGTCTCGCTCTCTCTCTCTTTGCCTCACTCAACAACTGAAGCTAATCCTTACTATAAAGAGGCTAATCTTGTGTGTGTGTGTTTGTTTGACATCGCTTTTCTCCGTGATTTTTCACTGAATTGCGGTACAATTTCATTATTGCACTGCATTGCGTCCAGATTGTCACTGGGGGGGTTTGTTTGTGGTATTTTCGTCGCATTTTTGTATTAAGTTAAAAATGCGAAAAAATGCTATTCGTCAATAGATGGCGGTACGTACAGATTAACATCACGTATGTGGGAATTATGGCGTAGTCGGTAGGAGCTCGGCTTCATAACCCGTGATTCCGGGTTCGAATCTCAGCTGGGGGAAAACAATTTCCCTTTACTTTTTGACTCTTTAGTATGTACTTCTGCCACTTCAGCGGTAATTTCAAAGTTTTAAAAATAAATTTTACTACATTCATTAAAAAAAGTTAAAAAGTTAAAAATTAAAAAATATTACTTTACAATTTTTTTTACTGTTATTATTATTTACTGCTATTATTATTATTTACTATTATTATTATTTATTATTGTTTTCATGTCATTTATCTTTATATTATTTATATTATTTTTTATTGTTTGGGATTGGATGGCATAGGATGGCATGGCATGCCATGCGATGGATGGAAGGAGGGATGGCTGGCTGGCTGGATGGATGGATGGATGGATGCATGCATGCATGGATGGATGGATAGATACATAGATAGATAGATAGATAGATTTTGGGGTATTTTCCTTTCAACCAAGTGGTCATCAACTGAGCACTTTTTCCCCCTGCTCACTTATAGCATTGCGCTCTTTGTTTCTTCCCAAAATGTTTTTTTGTTTCTGTTTTCTTTTCAGTTGCATTAAATATTTCACTTCAACTGTGTCACTTACATGAAGTTTATATTTTAAGGCACGATTTGGTGGTTGTACGGGTATTCAAGTCTGCTAGTTTGATAAGATTAGTTTGTTGCTCGTGGATACGGGAGGCTGAAACGTGCTTGTGTGGTGTCCGCGTGATGATGGCTGGGTGTGTGTGTGTGTGTGTGTGTGCGTGCGTGCGTGCGTGCGTGCGTGTTAAGTCGAGCGTGATTAGTACAATTTACTATTATTACTGGTGATTCAGCCTATATGGTGATGTTGATGTGGTAAGACGGAGCGGAGCGTACACTATGCTTTCTCAGCTATTTCTGCACAATATTCTGTACATCGACGAAAACAAAACCCATGAGGAAGTGACGTGCGAGCACGGTCACTGCATGTTGCATCGTTATCTGTGGAGAAACCCTCGATTAATATACATTCCCCTTTTGTTCTGGTTCATGTGCAGGTTTTTTTTATTATTATTTTAGCATACTACAAATTAATTTGTCTGTCAACTATGATTCTCGTGTAGTATAAAAATGGCTATGCGTTTCTCTGGTGTTAGAACCGACCGGTAAAAGATTGGTCAGGTTACAGGGATACTAAGCTCTAACAGATAGATTTTGGAGGGGTTACATTGGTCATTGATGATTATTGATCACTATGCAGCTGGTTTGCTGCTAATATGCTACCAAACAGCCAATGCCAGATACGACAAAACAATTATTAAGCATTCTTGCAATTTTATTTTATGCCTTAAAATGTATTCTGTAGTCTAACACAGAATTTACTCCATAAAAATTGTGGAAATCATAAATTTGGTACAAGCACATGCTTTAGTTTCACCTAAAAGCCGTACAACAATCGATCCACAAAGATATAGCAATCTTTTCTCAGAGCATATGCTCTTCCCTGGCAGGTCGCGCGTTCTAATTCCGCAAGTAACCCTATTGGGTGGCTGCTCTTATTATTGATTATTGACCAAATAATTGATTATTCCACCGGTGCTGCTGCTACACTCTACAGAAAAGCCGCTAGGCTGGCTTAAACTTAAACGTTAACGTTAAGGTTGGCTTAAACGTTAGGCTGGCTACAGTGTTAAAGAGCTTGCCAGCCTTGGGTGAGTAGTGGGCAACCACCAGCGCACAGGCACTTGCAACGTTTCACTCATAAAATGATGGTCAATAAACACGAAATGTACTTACTACCAAAGTCTTTACGCTCTTCTGCAACTACGCAACAAACGCACAAGTACACCGCACGCACGCCGCTGTGCACGAACAATAAAAATACAGAGTTTGTGCACAAACAGAAATACATCCTGTTTGTGAAAGGTGGCGTACGTGCGGTATACTTGTGTCTGGCAGAGGAGCATTTGAGCCGCATTTACAGGAAGTTATCGGTAATGATAAGCGAAAGAGAGTAGAGAAACATTAAGACTTTGGTAGTGCCATATTTACTCCTGTATAAGTCGAACTTTTTTGTACACAACTTCAATAAAAAAAAATAAGGGGTGCGATTTATACACGGGGCTAAGAAATCTTGTTAATGTACAAATGTTTTTACCAACTTTTCAAAGGCAAAATATGGAGTGTGACTTTTACACGAATGCATCTTATACGCGAGTAAATACGATATATACATTTCGTGTTTATTTACAGTGTTTCCTCCGCTTCATAGCGAGGTACGTGACCCCCTCCCCCCCTCTCTCCTCCTCCTCCTCTCCCTCCCTCCTCCCTCCGCGCCTACCGCATAGAGTACGGCTGCTTCATAGAGAGGTACGTGACCCCCTCCCCCTCCCCCCGCGCCTACCGCATGGTGCGTGGTTCTTCTTATTTGTGGCGGTTCTCTCTTGGTTTAGATTACTTCATCGCGCCTTGCGAGCGTATTCGTGCGTTTCTACATTACTTTATCGAAAGGTTGTGTGAGCGCGTGCGTGTTGTCGTGCGTGTGTGTGCGTGCATATACGTGTGTGCGTGCGTTTGTGCATGTGTGTGCACATACGGCGTGTGTCCATGCGTCTCTTTACATACGCTAGAGGGTGATAATGGTGATCATGTGTCAATGCGAGAAATCCTTACTATAAAGAGGCTATTCCTGTGTGTGTGTGTTTGTTTGACATCGCTTTTCTCCGTGATTTTTCACTGAATCGCGGTACAATTTCATTCTTGCACAGTTAAATTGCATCCAGATTGTCACTGGGTGGGGTTTGTTTGTGGTATTTTCGTCGCATTTTTGTATTAAGTTAAAAATTCGAAAAAATGCTATTCGTCAATAGATGGCGGTGCGTACAGATTAACATCACGTACGTGGGAATTATGGCGCGTCTCTTGACCGCCGCCGTAGCGAAGTCGGTAGGAGTTCGGTTTCATAACCCTCTCATCTCAGCTCGAATCTCAGCTGGGGGAAAAAAATTCCCTTTACTTTTTGACTCTTTAGTATGTACTTCTGCCACTTCAGCGTTAATTTCAAAATTTAAAAAATAAATTTTACTACATTTATTTTAAAAAAATAAAAAGTTAAAAATTGGGAAAAATTACTTTTACTAAAAAACATTTTTACTATTAAAGGCATAATAGGCCCATTGATTATGCAATTTTAACAAATGCTAGAGTAACTGGCACCTTGTGTAGTTAATAAGTACATTACCTTATAGCCAAACGCGTATTAGTTTGTCCAATATCACTGCTGGTTACTAAGAAATGTCTCATGGAAGCTGGTTTACCACCATCTGTTTCACTTGATGAGTAGATTAGAATATAATTTTAAATATAGCTACACATTATTTCCCAAATCTGCGCAAATGAACCCCCTAACCTCCGCGTCAACACGTTCTAGAAAGAACATCCGCGATGAACGACTGGCCATAATTTTCGACAGAAATTGCCTGTAACTTTGGTGTGTTTACTTTGGTTAATTAGGAATTTTCTTGGCAGCAAGTATTTGCTGCAAACATGGAGAGCAGGCAGAAAACTGACCCTTGTAGGCAACAAAACTGCATAATATTATTAGAATTAGACAAATAGACAAATAAATCTGGAGCATTATCCAACTTTCTTTTCGTTCGATTACGATAAGCGTTCATTTTAATTCTGCTCTTTGACGTTGCTCCATGCAGTGACCAATGAATGAAGCGGGACTTGCAACCACAATAGGTTGAGGTTCACTCTTGTGTAAAAAAACGATGAAAACCCATGGAAAAACTCTTGTTCATTGCCTTCGTAATTGCAAAAATAGAGAAGATGGATAAATAGGCCACGCCTCTAAAGTTAACTGCCACGTGAGAAGAACAATCATTAATTTTGAATCAACTCATCATTCTCCAATGCAATACAACCCGACACAGATATATAATATGAGATATTTCTTCTACGTGTTAACATAATTCCAATAATGTCAAGTTTCAGCTAATCTCGAACAAGCATCTACACGGCTGGAATACGTGCATACTATAGTGAAACACTAGATATAAGTATTATACGTAACCACCCAGCCACAGCCACCACGCTCGGCCAGTAACAGTTGCTGGTACCACCAGTACTCATGACAAACTGTCACCGTCCCTGCAGCAAATCATGCAAACCCTCATCTAGCTGTTGAGCCCTCATGTTTTCACATCTCTATTATTGCAGATATAAACCTCATTTAGTTTGTCAGTAGTCACTCGAATGAGACGGAGGTTACATATGAAGTCAAAATGTGACCACGTGCATGGCATGTAAACGGGGTCATATATTCCTTCAGCTGGTACCTGTATTTTCCACTGTTCATCATCACGTCAGGCTATTTACTCTTAACCCATACCTGTCAGCAGCAAGAGGCAGATAGACTAATATTGACCTTTCATTTTGTAGAATGACATAATATTCTTCCAGGCACTGTACAACCTAAACACTTGTTATTGTAGTCGCAGTATTAATACAGTAATACAACGCATTACGAAACCAATGCGTTCCAGAAAAAAACGTTCATATAAATGTGAATCACGTTGTCCCATTGGCTTCCATTATGTAATTGGAGCCGCATTTCTATGAAAGGGGTTTCGGTGAAAAGAAGTAGGCAATCCACCAATTTCCTCAAATGCTAAAATAATAATGAATGCAAGTAAATATCGGCAAATATATATTGGCAATTTGAAGATGTTATGCAGAAAAGGGAGTTCAGAATAAGAATTAATTTCTTGTAATATCTGTACTACACTGGACGCAGGGCACTGTGTGTAAATACACAATTATGAGTGCAAGGAAACATCAAACATATGTATTCGTGATTTAATAATGTAACGCAGGAAAGGAGTTATGGGTAGAAAAACCCCATTTATTTAGATTATGGACCACCATTAGATATTTGCACCAGCAGGGGCACCCAACGCTGCTCGGGGAAACCCACTTACGAACAACTTTCAGAGCAAATTCTGCCACAGATATTTACTTAATTCTAAGGATAGAGTCGTAACAGAGAAACAAAATATGAAGGGGTAAACAATATTCTGACAAAAACAGTTGGAACGATTCTATATGATTCTGTGCAGTGAAAGCTTCTGGATATACAGCATTATTATGAAATTGCAACAAGTTATTATGAATATGCCTCTCTGGCTGTGCAAGCCTCGTCTCGCCTTTTAAATACACAATTGGTGACATCTGTCACGTGTCTCTCTTATCATTGGGATTCGCTTTACATCAAAATAATACATGAAAATTCTCATTAGTATTTGAAATAACTGCGTGTTAAGTATTGTGCATCCAATTGGTATGTGAAGAGTTGACAATTCGACTAACAACCAGCAGCATCTAGTGAGTGCACAATAGAAATGACAAAAGGAATACGCTGGTAGACTCTTAATTATTGTACAATAATGAAACACGCTAGATAGATTAATGAACTAAACTAAATACATAGGCCAATAAACTAAACGCGTCAGTATAGCACGATATCAGATCAGCGTATATAAACACACAGTTTCCGACTTGGAATTCTTGCTTCTTCTAGCTTCTAATGCAGTATACAGTATATTACTGCAGTATGCAATATATTAACTTCTTTCTTCTTTTTGCTTCCAATGCATTATACAGTATATTAAATACTCCACTGCTGCACAAGATGATTTCGCAGTACACCTGAATGAAATTCGTCTTTCGTTTGTTGCCGCTGTTCAGGTACAAGATGCAGGGCATGTTAGCCAGGAAAAAAATCAGGGAGTCTCACCATCTTGACAATACTGGCACGGAAATAAAAATATTGTTTTGTTGGAAGAAGGATATAATTTTATTTTCATGCAGGGGTAAAATTGTGCAGTACACCTGTGCACAATACGGTGCACGACTCCCCAGTGGAGCAAAATTCTCCATGCTCCTCTTCCTCCTCCCCATCTGTTTCCCTTCCCCCTCCCCTCCCCCTCTTCCTCTGGTTCACATATTTCTAGGAGTATTTCTAGGTCTTCTGATATGGTTTCTGTGTGCGAATACACGCATGTCTGCCCCTGATCGTCTGTTCATGGGACCGGCCAACACGTAAGATTGTCCAGGTTTCGCGTGGGTTCTGCCAAAAAAAAAACGCGAAAAATAATGTAATTTTACAATGCCATTTCCCATCTCTGGCAAGTCTACAAATCCTCTACAATTGGCTGCTTGTGTTCGGTACTAGGAAGCTGTTGTGAGATTGAGCGCGCGGCTATGTTAAAACCGATGATCGGAGTCGGTAAAACTCGCTCGCTGACGTAATGCTGCTTGCTTGCCCCCTTGCTGTAGATGAGAGACTTGACGTGAAACAATGCGAAACCCTGGAGGAGGTTCTACGGCGGGTGCAGTTCCGCATGTTCGACCTAGAGGGCGCTGGACTCACCGACGACGTAAGTAGAGTAGATGTGTGTGCATGCGTGTGTGTGTGTGTGTGTGCGTGCGTGCGTGCGTGCGTGCGTGCGTGCGTGCGTGCGTGTGTGTGTGTGTGCGTATGTGCGTGCTTGCATGCGTGCATGCGGATGTGTGCGTGTGTGTGCGACGGTGATGCTGTTGTTTTACGTTTATTTTAATTATATTTATTACTTTGTTATTTTTGTTAATAATGTTAAATGTTAATTGTTCTAAGTAGTTTAAGTATGTAAGTTTTATTAGTTTACGAATTTATTTTCATTTTGTAATATATGCATAGATGGCGCATTCACTCGCTCACTCAGACATTCACTCACTCATGCTCACACACCAAAGTTGAACAGTTTCTTAGCTAAACCTCGCTCTTTCATGCACAGTTGACAGACATCTCTACTATATAATCTAATTATTATTGAGTTCGTAACGGGCTATCTATGTATGGTAAATCTATGTACACTGTATCTAATTATGTATTTCCCATAGGCGCGTAAAGCGCGCAAGTCGAATTTGGATGCAATTTTTCACAGGGCCATCTTCACTATACTCCGGCGTGTTCGTAGCTGTAAAAAACCTTGTCAAACGAGCAAACTCCCGAATAATCCGTGAAAAACCCTCATTCGCAATCTTCACACGTAATGTCAGCACACAGCCCATTATGACTATTGATTTTCTTGCCCTCACCTCATTGATATCATCAGCTGCCTGTGGTATTGTGAACCGAAACCGAATTCGAAACTAAAACAGAGCATAACCATCGGCCAGTCAAGCACTACTCCACTATCAGTTCAAGCAGTTTACGCCGTTCAGATGCTCGATTGAGAATCATTGTACCATTCAAAGCTAGCACTTTTCTTATTCATACAAAAATCCTTATTTTCAATGTGCATGTTGCGCAAGCAAGTTCACTAAGCACATATAATCCAGGCGACACAGATCCCACTCGTGGCCTGTCTCTTATCTATACTAATATATTGAATTTCTCTTTATTCGCGTCGATCTCACATGGATAGCTGACCTACGTGGGGGAGACTTAACAGTTGGATACGCACTTGAATCTCTTCAATATTTGCACCAGAGAATAACACGAAAATCATTGTTTATCAAGAGGCTTTAAACGACAAGTCCAACCCAGTGTACATGTTCATTATATAAAAATAAGTTTTTGTGCATGTTTACCTCCATATAGTGCTCAGAGGGTCTGTGTCCCCCCCCCCGGGATATGCGGGAAACTACCTCGCGTTACCTGGTGGTATACCGAAACGTACCTATCACTATCATATACTCAGGACCGTACCTCGCCTAACATCACTAACTGATTTTAGTGTAGTCGCCTTACGCCTACTCCCCTAACCCAACGATCCCCTAACCCGTAACCAGATCAAATAGCACCAGGCTACGTTCCGGAGTATACCTGGGGCACATAGACCCTATGAGCCATTACTATTAATATTATGTCTCAGAGGGTTCTAAGTTGGTTGTGCTGCACAGATAATTCATAATCGTAACAGTTTTTTCCCATGCTTATTATCTTATATTTAGACCGATTGGCTAAATATGATATTAGGGCTGCAATGTCATTGTCGTATGTTGACCCAATGTTCCTACTGCTGTCCTATATATTAGAAAAAATAGTATTATTAATTGGAGTAGACACGATTTACCAGCGCAGCGCTGTTACCCGCAGCTATAAGATATATATATACATAATATAGTCGTCCACTCTGCCCCGCAACCATTTGTGTGCGTGTTGCGGTGCGTGCGTGCGTGCGTGCCCCGTAGCCGTGCGTTCGTGCCGTGCACGTGGTGCGTGCGGCGCTAGCGTGTGTGGTATTTTGTAGATGGTACCCTATATATCAGCGCATCAGTTGTTTGATTATTCTCTAGGCAATAGCGGTATGTGTTTGCACGGAATGTTTGCACGAGGGGCTGTCTACAGGGCTATTTGCTGGCCAGCAGAAACTAACCATGCAGCCAATGATGGGTGCTGTGAAGCCACGGCTCACCATCACCATCACCATGAATGACGATAGATCCCCACCATCATCAGCTTCCATTCAGTGCTGGAAATAAATATTTACTCGGTAGCCTTTCGGAGGAGTGATGGCATTTTAAATGGACGTGTGTGTGCGCGCGCGCGCGTGTGTGTTGTTGTGTCTGATCTGTGTGTAGTTGTTTGTGTGGTTGTGCTGGGTTTTTTCGTTTAGTCTTAGTGCGTGTGGGTGTGGGCTTGTTGGTCCGTTCCGTAAATTGCTGTGTGCGCGGCTGTGGCTTTCTTCTGCGTGTTGCTTGTGATGTGTGTGTGGTGTGATGTGTGTGGTGTGTGCGCGCTGTGTGCGGGTGGTGTGTGGGTGAGGGCGCTGTTGTGTGGTATGTTTGTAGAACGCAGTGGCTTTGGTGCGAAGAGAACGTTTAGTCTACGCTGCGAATCTCTACTCCGATGACAACATTATGTGCTGCTTGTTTTTTGGGGGGTTTTCTTCAAACGCAAACGTGAATGCAGCGCGCCATTTCTAAAAAGATAGGTGAGAATAAGCAGTGCACTTTAGTAGCCCAGATAGTTGTCATGCTATCACACCCCCAGCTATTACATCCAGCCGGCTTAATCAGAGATAAAACATTCATGAGTAGTATATTGAGATAATTTTCCTAGTTATAGCCCACTAAATGCAGATTAATTTAATGCATCGGGCGGCGGCCTATAGTGCACAGCATATGCTGACATTGTAGGTTTTCCGTTTACTGCGCTGTTTGTGTTTACTTTGTGAATGAATATGAGAATGCTAGAATGAGATGCTATACCATACAATGTGCGTGCGTCAGTGCGTGTGCGTGTTTGCGTGCTTGCGTGCATGTGCGCGCGCGTGTATGTGTTTGTGCGTGAACCGGTGCAGTTTTGTACGTGCAATGGGGTGCAGTTGCGTGAATGTTGTGTGAGCGTGCGTGCGGCGGTGCGTGCGTGCCGTAGCGTTCGGCCGTGTGGGTGGTGTGTACATGCGTTCTGTGGGAGCATTAATTTTTCCTCTTCAGAGTTAACAATATTCATCAAATGAATCAATTGTATTCGTTCCATTCCCATCTCAGACAAGAACTATATTCTCCTCCATGTAAAAGGTATTTCGATCTCTCCGCTTTGTGGCATTGCCATTGAGTTGCATGGTCAGGTTAGCCTCATTACAGCGTTTCTTGTAGATACAGACGATTCTAATTGTTGGAGGCGATAATGAATATGATAATGCCTAGCCATCAATCAATTATATATATATATAATATATATATATATATATATATATATATATATATATCAAGAGTCCATAATAGAAATTTTCTATTATGGAATCTTGATATATATATAGCAAGATAGAGAGAGAGAGCGAGAGAGAGAGAGAGAGAGAGAGAGAGAGAGAGAGCTAGCGATTGAGGGGTACCATGAGAGAGAAAGGAATAGAAATAGTTAATAAAATAGAAGTAGAAAATGATAAGGGGAAAGAAAGTCCAACTCATTGTAAAAAAATCGCTGTCGAGTGAGAAAAATTGTTTAGACTAATGTCATTGCTGAGGACGGGCTCTTGTGTTACGGATACCTTCTACCTACGTGTATGTACGTGACATGAGACGGAAATGGAACATGTATCAATAAACGCTGTCAGACGTGTAACCGGTGCGTCTTATCTATCGTGACAACGTTCGCTCATAGGTTTACAGTCAAGCATACGACATTATTAGTTATTACCTGTATGTCACGTTCTCTGTGACGCTCCCTTGCCCACTGAGTTGTAAGGGGTCGTGTCTCGCATGTGTGGTTGTGTGCACTGATATCTAAAGATAACAGTTTAAATAACATTGAAACACTACAATCACAGTACACACTGTGTTCACGCGGTGCAATCTGATAAAAATTTATTTTTATAAGGTCGGATGTTTGTACTGTCTAGTACATATACTGCCTTGTGTGTGTGTATATATATATACATATATATATATATATATATATATATATATATATATTATATGGATCACATGCGAAATAACGAAAACAACAACAACAACAACAACAGCAGCAGTAGCAGCAGTGTTTCTGACGTACCTCACAGCCCTATTCGTATGTTTGTTTCAGGGCGTGGCAACTGTATTTGACATGCTAGAGTTCTACGAATCGGCGACCAAGCTCAACCTGTCTTTCAACAAGAACATTGGGCCTCGGGGCTGGCAAGCGTGCGCACGCATGATCAAGAGGGTAAGGCTCCATCGACACGCCGCGACGTCGACCCACTCCCCTCCTCCTCACTCACTCGTTTGAGACACGCGTCTCGCTCACCGGAGACAGAAGCATGTTGTGGGTTCGTAACACGTGTTGCAGCACGTCTGGAAATCCGAGAATTATTTATTTCAATTTTCTGAGTCTGGAAAGTCCTAGAAAATTCGTTGTTTTTTTACACTTGGTCCTAGAAAGGTATTGAAATTGCGCAGCTGTCTATTCTGGTGCATGAAATATTCATTGCGCAGCAAAGGTTTGTTTGCTAATCGTTGCTTGGGAGATAACAAGGTGCAGGGATCCTTCATAGGCTAAAATCCCTCGCGGCCCATACAAAATGAACTTTGTACTTCATCTGAATATCTCCTAAATATTTCTCGGGGAGAGAAAGGTTTCACCCCTCAGACGTACGAACCGTGGTTGAGTGACCACCCACCTATGGGAGTTTACAGAAAGTCTTGCTCAACACGAACGCACTCGGAGAGTTTACCGGCGGGAGCGGTGACGTCATGGGTGGCTTGTGTAACGGTGTAATGCCGCGGGGGGGGATGACATCCCCGTGTCACGCGGTCTCATCGGTCCATTAGCTGCTCGACTTGTGCCTCACAGCGGTTCCCTCGCTGGATTGGTGGTGGACGGAGGGGGTCGTGCGTGTGTGCGTGTGTGTATGCAGGTGCATGGGTGCATGCGTGTATGTAAATGTGTGTGCGTGCGTGCGCGCGTGCGTGCGTGCGTGCGTGCGTGAGTGTATGTACATGTGTGTGTGTGTGTGCGCATGTACATGCTTGCGCTTGCGTGCATGTGTGCGTGCGTGAACATGAACATGATTGCGTGCATTCATGCATGCGTGCGTGCTGCGTATGTGTGGTTTATATAATCATGATAATTAATGTTAGTTAGTAATTAAGCAGCGATGCTGAAGCCACCTACTAACGACAATGACAGCTGTCCTCGCAGCATTCAGCCACGAACAAGAGTGAAGATGTACAGTTGCTGCTATACGCTATATGCTTCCCGAGGCTGGTCAGCATCCCACACCGCCACGCGAAACCCCGTAGCTACAGCTTCAAATAATGTCACGTAGCTACAGCATCAATTAATGTCGCGTAGCTACAGCTTCAAATAATGTCACGTAGCTACAGCTTCAAATAATGTCACGTAGCTACAGCATCAATTAATGTCGCGTAGCTACAGCTTCAAATAATGTCACGTAGCTACAGCATCAATTAATGTCGCGTAGCTACGGTATCAATTATTGTCACGTAGCTACAGCATCAATTAATGTCACGTAGCTACAGCATAAATTAATGTCGCGTAGCTAACTTCAAATAATGCACGTTAGTCTACAGCTTCAACTATGTCACGTAAGCTAAAGAAAGCATAATTAAAGTCGCGGAGCTACATCGCCTTCAAATAATCGTCCGATCCAGCTACAGCTTAACATAATGTCACGCGATGTCTAACAGCTTTCAATTATAGGTGTCACGTATAGCTAAAGCTTCAACACTACATCTCCACCGCTAGCTACAGCTGTCCATTAATGTCACGTAGCTACAGCTTCAATATAATTAACTAGTTACAGCTGCAATAATTCACTGTGCTACAGCTTAAATAAATCACATGTAAGCTACAGCTTCAATAATGTACGTAGCTACAAGCTTTCAATAATGTCGCTTAGGACTAACTTGCAAAATAATTGCACGTAAGCAACATCATCATTTAATTTCGCGTAGGCTACAGCCTTCAAATAAGTCCGTAGTGACAGCATCAATGATGTCGCGTAGCTACATTCAAAATAATGCACGGTAGCGCTTACGGATCATTAGGTACGCGATGCGAGCTACGGTATCAATTATTGTCACGTAGCTACAGCATCATATAATGTCCACTAGCTACGCAACAATTTAATGTCGAGTAGCTAAGGCTCAAATAAGTCAGTAGTACGGAAGTCAATTAATCGTCAAGTAGCAAAGCTTCAATTAATCTCACGTGTGCTAACGCATCAATTAATGTCAGCGTGACTAAGGTTATCAATTAATGTACGTAGCTAAGCTTCAATTAATGTCACGATAGCTACGCATAAATTAATTCTGCGTAGTTCTACATGCTTCAATGAATTGTCAGCGGTACTAGGCATCAATTAAATGTCAATCTTATTCTCACGTACAGATTATAATATGTCACTAGCTACAGCTCCAAGAAATTCACCTAGTCTACGTGCTCAATTAATGTCAAGTATTGCACAGCATACATTAAGCACATATGCATCAATAATGTCACGTAGCTTACAGACATCAATAACGTCCTAACGCTATGCATAATACCCACACAATCACCAGAAAACTAATGTCAAGTAGTACAGATAATTAATTGTCACGTAGCTACGGCATAATTAATGTCACGTAGTCTACAGCTCAATTAATGTCCGTAACTAAAAGTTCAATAATTCAATCGTAGCTACGGCATCAATTATCAGTTCCTAATGTACGTCTCCAGTGCATCAATTCATGTTATGGTTTCTACTAGAAACGTTGCCTGCGTCACGTAGACGTAGTGTTTCATTTTACACCCACGGCACCTATACTCATCTGTCTGTGTGTGTGCGGAGAGGGAGGGAGAGTTGTGCGAGGCTGTGTGTGGGAGGCGGAAGTTGTGCGGGGGTGTGTGGCTGTGTGGGAGGAGTAATTGTAATCGGCAGCCGTGTAGCAGCTTGGCCAGCTGTGACATTACCCGCTACTGCGATTTTCTGATTTGCGTGGGTGCGTGGGGCTCACTGCTCTACATTTAAGTTGCGGGGGAGAGGAAGAGGACTTGCCTCCCTGAAGAGGGGCATTGAATGCGGTGGGGTGGTGGGAGGAGAGGGGATGTTATCCATTTGAATCCCAGCTCTGTGTTAGAGCTCACTGCAAACATTCTAGAACATTACTAGCATATAGTCATTCTCATTGCCCGACGATTTCCCTGCACCTCGTCTTAGTGCCAGAACTGAGAAAGGGCCTCTTGGCTCCCCATCTGTTTCTGACAGCAGCAGCAGCAGCAGTAGTAGCAGCAGCAGCGGCGGCAGTGGGGGCAATAGTAGCAGCAGCAGCAGCAGCTCACCAGCAGCAGCGAGCAGCAGCAGCAGCAAGCAGCAAGATTAGTAAGTAGTAATATACGCAGAGCAGCAGCACAGCAGCAGCAGCAGCAGTAGATAGCATGTAGTAGCAGTAGAGTAGCAGTAGGCAGTAAGCAGTAGCTAGTAGCAGTAGCAGTAGGCAGTGGCAGTAGCAGTAGCAGTAGCAGTAGCAGTAGCGTATGCAAGTGGCATAGGCAGTAGCAGCAGCAGCAGCAGCAGTAGCAGTAGCAGTAGCAGCAGCAGCAGCAGTAGCAGCAGTAACCCCCTCTCCGGGGCGTGAGTGCACGCGCGCGTCTTGGCTGGATCACGCGAGCACGCAGGATTAGCACTGCGACGTAAGCCGCCCGAGCCGATTTCCCTGCCTGCTAATTCACTTGTCGCGCGCAGTCGGCCGCGTTAGACCCACGTACATCTCAGAGCACTAAGGTGGGCGTAAGTGTGGCGTGGTGAAGGGTGGCGTGGCGGCGACGGCGGCAGATGCTGAGGCAGCTGTGGCTATAGTAGCATACAAGGCGAACCTAATCTCCTGCCGCCCAAACACGTTACATTTTTATTCAACCCGTTCGCCGGAAGTGGCGGGCAGGCAGCGATGACCTATCGGCAGTTTTATGGGACCTCCTAAAAGACAGTGCATGGCGACGAAGTGTCACAAAGTCGACAATTTCTCGCATACGTGTGAAAACCACGTACAAACCTCGTGAGTTTGATCGACCTAGACATAACATCGCAGAGGTCGCGTGGTCATTATCTCGCCCAGTATGATAGGTCGATTGGCGAGATCTAGTGGATATCAGCCCCCAAGTCCTCCTTTTTTCTTCATCTGCATTTTGCGATGTGAGGAGAGAGAGGGTTCAGTGTTGTGTTGCCGCGCGCATGCTTCAGAGATGCAGGGTTCTATGCACCATGTACACGGGCGGCGTTTTCTCATCCATTAGCGATAAGTTGATTTCGTTCGGAAAATTTCTCTATGAGGCCGTAATTATAGGTCACTGCACGAGTAAAATTTTAGTGATGTATGCTGTACGCGCTCATCGTCGTTATCGTCGTCGTCGTCATCGTTGTTATCGTCGTCGTCGTCGTCGTCGTCGTCATCGTCGTCGTTGTCATCGTTGTTATCGTCGTCGTCATTGCTATCATAGTTATTGTCGTGATGTTCGTCATTAGCATTACATGTTTATCATCATTATCGTCATCATCATCATCATCATCGTCGGTATCCCTGTATTGCTGATTTTTCATGCAGGGAATCGATCACAAAAAATCTATTGATCCATTGCGAGCGAGTCATTGAGTTGGAATTTGCGCCGGGCCTTGCTTTCATTGAACTTCGGCGCGTGGTTATTTCTCTGAGTGTGCGTGATGCGCGGTAACGTGATGTGTAGCAGCAACCCATTAACTGTCCAGCGGGGGCGTAAAAAGCTCTCGAATGGGAGAGCTCGATGTTCTCATTTTTGCTCCGTTAATTTGTTTTCGTTGTAACACGATGTTTGTGTCGTGCGAACGCCATATTTGTGTCTCACAGACGCCATGTTTGTGTCGTGCAGACGCCATGTTTGTCTCTTACGGACGCCATGTTTGTGTCTTGCAGACGCCGTGTTTGGAGTACCTGGACTGTCGCAACACGACGTTGAATGATCAGAGCCTGCCGCTGCTCGGCCGTGCGCTGCGCGTCAACAACGGCCTTGTGACGCTGCACATGGAGGCGTGTGCTCTCTCTGGCCGCCCTCTCATGATCCTTGGTGAGTCATCACGGCTTCGTGCAGGAGTTAAGCTGTGTTAGAATGAGGATGAGTTAGAAATAAAGGGGAAGAAAAGTGTAGTATTGCTAAGGTTTATTACAACTGAAACGAAAGTGTGATGAGTTAGAAATACATAGGAGCGAAAAATGTAGTATTGCTGAGGACTATTACAACTGAAATGAAAGTAAGCTATGTTAGTCCGTAAATGTATTAGAAATAAAACAAAAGTAAGATATGTTAGAACTAAGATGTATTAGAATCACAGAAAACGTAAATTGTGTTAGAACAAAAACGAAAGTAAGGTATGTTAGAACTAATACGAATGTATGCTGGATTAGAAGTAAAGCCAGATAAGTGTGTATTCAAACTAAAACGAACAGAAGATATAGTAGAACCTAGATATATTGCAAATATTTGGGACGTATTCAGCCGTCATTTCTAGAGGTCACTCTATTTGTGAAGGTTCTTCATTCCACACGTACGCACCGAATAACGTTGCATTAGCAGCGACAGCGAAGATGTAATGTTTGCTCCTTGTCTTCTTCACGATTCCACACATTTTCCCCAGTAACATGAGAACTGTTTTCAAACACTGTCATCTTATCTGTCTCCTAATACCCTAGCAACATGAGCGCTATGCATCAAATACAATCATCTTATCAACCTTCTAATATTCCTCAATATATAGTCGCCGAAATTTCAACATTTCTCATCGAGTCATCCGATTATAAGTTTTCTGTTTTATGTGATTCTTTTTTGGGGAGGGGGATTTTCAAAAACGTCTGTTCATTTTACCGCGGAAAGGATTTACCGCATTATTAGTTATAGTCTTACTATTAGTTATTAGTTTAGCTAGTCGTTTATGTAGCATTTCACGATGCAATATTTACCCACCACGAATCCATTACAAGGACATCATAAGCTAAATAATGGAAAATGGATCACGTCGTCATTGCTTTTGTGTGTTTCCATGGCAACGTTTTAACTAGATGATAGATGCTCATTGGTGTGTAAGCAGTTGATAACCGGCTTTACTGTCGTGTGAGAGATAACTTAATTGAGGTTGCACTTAACTTGATGCGATATTCCCGTAAACTGGGCGTGCAAATATGTCGTTGTCGACGCGTTAGCGTGTGTACCATGCAGCGCTTCGTCTCTCGGGTATTTTTCACGATTTGCACTGCGAATTCACGTGCAGCTCATGCAGTGTCCGTAATGGAACTTTGAAACCTATCCGCGGGTGGTGCTGTAGTGAGTACAGTATTAACATCAGAAAGTCCTACCCTAGAAAAGACGAGTTCGTCAGATTAGACGCAAGTGATAATTTGCTGGGGGATTTAGAACTGAAAACGAATGAGATTTAAAATGAGTTTGCATTAGATGATTACAATTTACATATGACCTATATATATCGCGTTTTTCTATGCACTCCATCCGTTATGGTCTCAAACAAAGAGCCGTGTTTGAATTGGCGTGTTCTGACCTCTCTTCTGATAAAAGGTTGAATAAGTATAGACTGCAGGTTTGTTTCATGTAGGAAAGCCCGTGAGTTGTTGCGCGTGCAGTTTCTGTAAATCAAGGGGGCCATATTCAATACAACGGGCTCGCCGTATAATTAAACATCGCCTTCCTCCCCCGCTAGGCTTGTGTCATGATGAGACGGATGCAATATAGTAGCTGATCATGATTGCATCCACTCCCCCGGCCCTTGTTGGCGTTTTTCATCATCATTTCGCTGCCGTGCATTTAGCCCAGCGGGGGAAGAGGGATTGTAAAATACATCATGGGGCGTAGTTGGCTTCACCGCAGTTACTGATTTGTGTCGTGCATTGTACGTTAGCTGACTATTATCAGGAGTTAATAATGTTTCATTAATGTTTCATGTTTAATTTGTCATTATTAACTCCTGCTATTATCATTCTCTGTATGATCTGTACTATCGTCTGTACTACTACTATCTACTGTACTATCATCTACTCCATCATCAACTACTGTCATCTGTACGTTAGCTAAATATTATCACTCACTACGTTATCGAACTATTATTACTACTACTATAACTTATAATAACTATATAACTTACTATAACTACGTTACTTAGCTTAATATTATTACTACGTTAAACATATTTATTCTCTCTCTCTCTCTCTCTCTCTCTCTCTCTCTCTCTCTCTCTCTCTCTCTCTCTCTCTCTCTCTCTCTCTCTCTCTCT